TTGTTTCCACCTAGAACTTCCGTTAATCTTCACAGCATGTGTTGAAAAACAAAAAAAAGAACAATTCTGTATAGACTAAAAACTACAGTGGGAAAGGGAATGGGATGCAGGAATGATTGCAATGATTTTCTATTTTACAAAGCAAATTTACCTCCAAGAAAATTTGGAGTGTTGTGTTATTCATCTACATAAATATAATAATTCAAATTTACCTGAATTCTTTACTTGTGTGTATACCTTCCATTTTAATACCAAATTGTCTATCAGATTTCTACTCTTACAACTTTGATGTAATTGGGGATCAAAGCGGAGTATGACTAAGCAATGTACAGTAAGCTACTGAAGACAATGCATTCTATTTGTTGAAAGCACAGAACCACAGTCCAAAACAAAAGGGTACAATGTATCAATATTTACGGGAAGGGGCAGGACAATATTATAGTCAATAAAATATAAAGATTAATTTTTTCCAGAAAGGAGAACAGAATTTATATTTTACATAGTGTAATATAAAAATATTATTAGTACGGTAATACTATTACTACTGAAAATGGAACTATTACTTATTTAATAAGATGGTCACTTGCTTCTAACCAGTATCACAATTCACTTGACAGATCTGAGGTTTCCTTAAGCAGGTTTTTCTTTACCGATCTCCCTGGGCTTGCCATTCCCATCTCCCACATAGTTGGATGCATGCAGTAGCAGCTTGCTATAACAGATGAACACTGTGGTAGGCTAACACAAAGAAATGCTACAGAACCAAAAAACTATAATTAAATAGAATTTTAAAGGGGAAAACTTTTTCTAATAAAAATGCTCAGTGGGGATGTCTTTAAAGACTAGATATTAAAGTCAGCCTTAAAATATCACTTAATATAGTAAGGAAAATTCCTTTCATGAGATTTGACTTTCTATGTAATCCATAGCCTGGTTCTTTTTTATAAACCTTTGAATCTGTTGTGAATAAAATAGATTATACTAGAGATTCAAAAGGTTTTTTATTAGCCATCAACAACTTGAAGATTATTAGGTTACATTTCAGGTTATTTAGAATAAGATTTTTTAAATATGAAACTGATGTGGAATCATATCATATTAGAACTGTCTCAGAGTTCATTTTAAGTCAATATATTGAATATCATGTTCACTTAAAAATATTGTTTGTAAACTCTTTATTAAGTAGAAAGAATTTATATCTTTATTATGCCAAGGAGTAATTTAAATAACTCCCCAAATCAGTTTCTTGTCACATAGTATAATACATTATTATCAGACAACGTTGCCTCTTGTCAAAGAGAAACAAACCATTGCACTAGGCTCAGAATTTTTGTGAAAAAAATATTTAAGAAAGTAAACCATAAATGTGATTAAACCCCATTGAAATTAAACAATTCTTGGGGAAGCAGCTATTATTCTGACCATCAACATTGCCATAAGAGTAAACAGTTTAACTTTATAGGGTTATTTACTAATCTTGCTGGGAATGATTCCCATCATTTTAAGAATGAAGACTCTGTACTTCTCTCTTTAGATTGAGAGTAATAGGTCTAGAGAAGATGGGAAACCCAAATTATACTAGTCTTTTGATTCCATGATAGTGGGTTCCCTTCTCTGTTCTTCAGTAGTGAACTAATATGATTGTTGTCCATAAATATTGTAAGCATCAACTAACAATTTTTGGAAAGTTTTTTTAGCCTTTTTGACCATTTGTGACATCAATAATGACAGGATTCTTGGCCTGGCCGGTGAGGCTCAGTTGGATGGGCGTCATCCCATGCACCAAAAGGTTGGTTCAATTCCCGATCAGGGCACATGCTAGGGTTGCAGGCTCTATCCCAAGTAGGAGGCATGCAGGAGACAACTGATGGCAGTTAATAGATGTTGCACACTCACATCCATATTTCTCTCTCTCCCTTTCCCTTCTTATCTCTCTAAAAAAATCAATTAAAAATGTATTTTTTAAAATCTTAAATAGTAATAATAATGGCAGGATTATTTTTCTCCCTCTAAACTCTAATATATTTTTGCACCATCATTGTTTCTTCCTCAATTTATTTTTAATATTTGTTCTGAATTATGACAGGCATGTTTAGTATAGGAAACTTGAATAATAAAAGGAAAAACTATAAATCTGATCATTTTTTCCTCCAGGATTCTGATGAAATAATTTCAACCTGAACAAGGTGTTTCACCTCTTTATTTCAATGCTAAGAAAATATCTTTCAAATAATTCATTCAAGTTTTTGATAAATTTGGTTAATATGGTTAATTGCATCTTCTGTCTTTACTAGAACAGCAATAGAGGTATTGCTTCACAGGTAAAGTTAAATTCAGAAAACTAAAAGCTAGCATAATTTCACTCCTCTATAGGTGTTTCTTCTTCATAAACATTATTTTAGTAGATACATCAATGATAGAAAGCCTTATTTAATGATATAATCTTCACATCAACCATAACAGTAAATTATCATCAGTCTCACTTTACAAAACAAAGGTCTGAAATCAATTGCACGGCCCTTAGGCGGTAAAGTGAGAATATTATGGGGTTTGAACCTGCTCTCTCTGCTTCCAAGGGCATCCTTTCCACTACAGCCCAACACCTCACCGTGAACATCATAATCTGCTTAATTAGGCCCTGTGGTCGAGCAAATGAAATGCTGCCCCACCTTTTTTTTTTTTTTAACTAATACCAAAAATGTTGGAGTATCTTGATGTGGAAAACTTTATTTGTTTTTATGATTATTTCCCCAAAATAGAGCCTCAAAATTTGGATTATTGCATTAGAAGTAGGAATATTTTTTAGGTAATTTGTATATATTACCTATTGCTTTCCTCAATAAGATTGTTCAAATTATAATTCAATCAGCAAAGCAGGAGGCTTCCTGCTTCACTGTGCCCTTTATAAAAATCTTGGTTATAAATAATAATAAAAAATCTTGGTTAATTTAATAGATAAAAATGGATATTTTGTTGCTAAGTTTAAAAAAAGTATTGCTACAATTCACTGTGTTTTACTATATCAATTTCCATTCTACAGCATGAACCTTGTATAAGGGCTTTCTAGTCCCTATTCTAGAAAAGGGAAGATATGGGAGTGGTCTTTAGACCTTTATTCATTCATAGTTATCCAGCTCCCACTCTAGGTCAGGCACTGTGCTAATGTTAAGGATATAAAGATGAAAGCCCATCTCTGACCTCACAGAGCTTGTGAACTAGCAAGAGACACAGAAACACAATTAGACAATTATAGCACAGCACGACTAGGACAGTGATCAAAGTAACACAGAGGAAGATGCTTTGAAAAACATGGAAGAGGGCACTTAAGCCATCTCAAGGGAGGTCCCGGAAGCCTTTTTGGAGATACTGAGGCCTGAGCTCCATCTTGAAGAGAAGTAGAGTTAGCCAGATTTGCCCTAATATATCCAACCAGAATAAACTGCTTCTTTATCTGTGTGTTTCTTTACTAAGGTGTATTACACTTATTTGGTTCCATGTCTCTTTTATTATATAGGATGCGTTTTTTTTCTTTTGATTGTAAAAATACTGTTAACTGCACATGCATCAGAATGGATGGAGAGGATGGAAAATAGGAAGTGTTGGTGAAGGATGTGGAGCAACGGGAATGCTCATACATTGCTGGAAGGAGTAGAAATTGGCGCAACCACTTTGGAAAACTTTTGGGTCATATCTCTTAAGCCAGCAATTCCACTCCTAGGAATAAACTCAAACCCAAGTGCAGGCATACTTTTACCAAAAGTGGCACTATTTATAATAGTTCTAAACTAGAAAATACACAGATGCTCATCAACAGTAGGATGGATAAACAATGAGTAGGATGGATAAACAATGAGTTAGGGTCCCACACAGCAAGAAAAATGACTCTACACACTATATTAAGGAATTTCATAAAAATAATTTTGATTACTATAGAGCTAGATTTTTTAAAAGCACTTACTGTATGATTACTTTTATGTAAAGCATAAAAATAGGCAAAAAACTGCTGTTAGAGGTCAGGAAAGGTCAGAAGTGGGGGATTAGTGACTAAGGGGACAGGAAGGGGGAGCTTCTGGATGTGCAGATAGGGTTTCGTTTCTTGATCTGGTGCTGCTTACCCTGTAAACTCAGTTTTTGCCCTCTTCTGCATGTACAGTAGACGCTTGAATAACACTGGGTTTAGGGGTACTGACCTGCCACCATATAACTTGCCAGCCCTTCTCATACATGGATTCCCAAACACAGATTGAAAAGTATATTAGACTTAACTAGATTTTTAAAAATAATAATAATAACAATACATCTTATTTGAGAGGAAGCTGAAAAATACAAAAATGTTTTGAAAAATTTAAATCACCCAAAACCCACTTGTGCTACCTCCTCCCTTTCTGCTCCCCACATATTTACACACACATTTTGCTAAATTAGGCTCATTTCTATTTAGTTTTACTTCTGTTATTTTTACTTGAAATTAATCCTTATCAAATATTCATTGCAAGCATGTTTTTTAAAGCTGCAGCAATGTATTCCATCAAATGTGTATGTATGTGTATGTATGTATATATACGTACATACACTTACTATTACATATGATTAGAATATTATATATTACGCACATGTAGTCCTAGAACAGGAGCTACTGGGTCATGACATTTTGTAAGCTCTGCATTCGTTCTCTACTTCCTTCCAGAAAGGTTGCATCTCCTAGCAAGGCGTGAGGGATCCTTCTATCACAATCCAAACCCAGGTCATTTATTATTATTTCTAGTTGTTTTTGAGATATTGGGGGTATCACAATCCAAACCCAGGTCAATTATTATTATTTCTACTTGTTTTTAAGATATTGGGGCTTAAAACAGGACGAAGGAATCTGCCCTATTGCATCCGGCCAAGGCTCTCAGCAGGAACCGGCTTTCCCCCAAACCCTCCCTTCCTTCCAGGCCCCAAGCTCACAACTCGCGCCCTGCGGGCTGCGCACTGCGGCTGCGCGCCTGAGCCCCGGCGCCCCCGGTTGCCTTGGGAACCGCACGCCCAGCCGTAAGAGGTGCAGAAACCAGGCCATGGAGCTCCCGGAGCCGGTCCGCCAGCGGCTGGGAAACTTCAGTCGGACCATGTTCAGGGATTCCAACCGGACCGAGCCCGAGTACAGCGAAGGTCCGGGTGAGTGGCCGAGGCCCACCGCCGGGAGTGTGGCCGCCGAGGACCAGCGGGTTTGGAGCGCGGATGTTGCCAGGACCCAAAATGGCGGTTTCGCCTTCAGCGGGCGCCGCAGTGCGGAGCGCCTTGGAGGAGAGGCCGGGCGAGAGCTGGGCTGGGACGGCTCCGGTCCCTGATGGCGCTGGTGCCAGGCTGATCGTGCCGAGGCCTGGCCCGCGAGTTCCCAGCAGGGCAGCTGAGGTGGAGCTGGCCTTCCTCAAAGAAAAACAAGAATGCAAGAAAGCCGCCTTCGCAGCACACGCAGGCCTTCGCAGCACACGCCGGTCCTGGCTTTTTCAGCCTGGATGGCGGGAATCGCCCCTTCCCACTCCTCACACCCACCCCCACCCCGTAAAATATGTTTTCCTTTACAACTTTCCTAGCAGAACAAGTGCGTTCCACCACAAGGCGGTTTTTCTGGCGGAAGAGATGGAAAGAAGTTTTTTTAATGAGTCGTTTTAAACCGCTATCCACTCCCGAGTGACAGTGGCCACACTAGCTAGCATCGCCTTCAGCAAAACTCTCTGCTTCCCTGCCTTCCCCTCCCCTCCCCCCTCCCCTCCCCTCTCCTGCCCTCCCTTCCCCTTCCCTACCTTCTCTTCCCCTGAGCAAGCGTCCCCTCTCCTGCCCTCCCCTCCCTTTCCCTCCCCCTCCCCTCCCTTTCCCTCCCCCTCCCCTCCCCTCTCCTGCCTTCCCCTCCCCTCTCCTATATATGACTCTTTCACCAAATCTGCTAACAAAATGCCATGATGCTTCCTCATGCAACCTGACAAGTAATAACGCGATTTCCTCCAGTTTCCCCTTCTTAAATCATGATGATAGACAACATACGGTCAACCAAATCCATACGTTTTTATCCTTGAACTCTGCAGGAAATAGAAATCTTTTCCTCTTTCTTGGTTTAGGAATTTTTAAAAGGGTCAGAGAAAAGTAAAGTCAGTTTCCATAGTTGCATTTTTCAACTTTGTTACTTGCCTGCCCCCCCCTAATTTAGGATGTACAGCAGAAAACATAGTGTGAAAAATTAGGTTTTTACTTTTCTGATTTCTAAAGCTAAGGCTTAACAGGCTCTAGAATCTAATGATGCAAGGTTTCGGGTCAGCAGACATTTTCTGTAAAGGGCTAGGTAGCAAATATTTTAGACTTGTACGTGGTAAATCTCTGTGACAGCTATAGATAATGGTAATTGGGTGGACATGGCAGTGTTCCAATAAAACTTTATTTGTGGATACCAAAATTTGAATTTCATAAGATTTTCAGTGTCAAAAAATATTATTCTTTGATTTTTTCCCCCCAACCATTTAAAAATGTGAAAAAGCTCACTTGCTATACAAAACCAGACAGCTGGCTGGTGGTTTGCCTATCCCTCATTTATATTATATATGTTTTAATTTAAATTCTATTTACAGAACTCAACTTGTACTTTTGCAAAATTTAGTAAATTCATGTCTGTGCTTTCAACGTTCATTTACATATTAACTTGATTTTCAGTTGCATGATTATAAGTTTGATCTGCTGAAATACAGAAATAGCACAACTCTTAAAATGTTATTGTACAAAAATTTTTAACAAAAACTTCTTTGCAAAATTTGACTACAGTTTCTGCTCTAAAGATATTAAAATTTTCAGCCTAACTAATTTATCATTATTTTTCCACATTTTCTTTGTGGATCTGGAGTAGGTTTATTTGTACTGTAATTACAAGTGTATATCATTACCATGTCCATAGCTGACCAAGAGGTGCATTATTATTATGAAAAAAATCCTAGATTTAACAGATTTTAAGAATTCATTCCTTTATCAGGGGTAAATTAATAAATAGGTGCAAGCAAAGTACATCATAATAATGATTTTAAAAAGTAGATCAACCCAGCTGGTGCTGCTCAGTGGTTAATGGTCGACCCATAAACCAAGAAGTCACCAGTTCGATTCCTGGTCAGGGTACATCCCTAGATCCCCAGTAGGGAGCATGGAGGAGGCAGCCAATTGATGTTTCTCTATCTCTCTCCCTTCCTCTCTCTCTAAAATCAATTTAAGAAAAACAAACATATTTAAAAAGTAGATCATAATCAGGTATATTCTTGGAGCTAAAGAACACCTTGCTGTGAGACCATGATTATTCCTTATATTTTAAAATTATTATTAAACGACAGATATAAAATACTGGATTGTGGAGAAAAAAAATCTGTTTCTAAGAAATTTATTTTAGAGCCTTTGTAAATTCTTATATTTAGAGCAATTGATTTCTAAATATGTGTCTGTTCCTGTTTTATAAATTTAGGATGCAAATGTAGGGCTCAGTTTTTAAAAAATTCTTAATTTAGGACCCTTCTCCCTTACACAAAAGCAAAATATTATGTAATCAGCCTTATATAAATGAAACTCATGTACTACAAATAGCTACGCTGACAATGTCCTTATGACAGTGTTTTCATAATTCATTCTGCTTATGTGTATTTGATATTTACCAGTTTAAAGTAAGATGCTAGGTTCTCTGGGGATCTCAAAAGTGGGTAGGATGTGGTCTGTGTTTACATTGAGCCTGTCCATCAGTGAAAGAAAAGGAAAGGGAACATACATTTACTGAGTGCCTCCTCAGGGCCAGGCCTGGTGCTAGAGTGAAATAATTTATATTCTCCCTCATCCTCACAAGCAATCTGGGAGATACCTTTAATGTTACCATTTTTCAGATGAAGAAACTGACAGTCAAAGAGGTCAAATAACTTATCTCAAGTCTGGCAGCCAGAGTTACTGGGGAGTTTGGGGAATTCGGGGTTTACTTGGACTCCAAAGCTCACGATCTCTTCAGTACACCAGACTGTCTTAAGTGAGGGAAGTATGGTTGTTTGCTAACACTCCTGTACACAGGTTAGAGTGATAAATACCTACAAAGGAACAAGATCTCTACTGGAGTTGGGGAATATAATCAAGAAAAAAAATTTATGGAAAGGTGGCATTTAATTGGGTATTAATGAATGGGTGGGATTAGGGTATGCTGAAAAGGGGTGTGTCTAATTATAATTTGGGGAGATGCTTTTTTGTATGATATTTGTGAGAGAGTAGTTTTATGTATTTTATGTGTTTATTTTATGAGCTCTTTACATAGAACTCTACAAAGTTGGCAATAATAATTATTGTGTCTCAGTAGGATTTATATTGATAGTCTACATTTAGTCTATACCAATAGTGTGCAAAAAGCAGACTGTAATGGCAAAATGTTAAAGTAATTGAAAAAATTGAAACAAACCCCCAAGTAACCAATATATGAACTAAATAATATGATGGTGAATATTTTCTTGTACTGGCAATGATTATAAAGATGCTTAACATTTGTAGTTTTGTTGAGCCAATATGATAGTTATTCTAGGGAACTAAAGGATTTATAGGGCATAGACCAGGAATAAGAGTTTGTCCCTTTTCTCCCTGTTTCTATTGTAGATAATGAAGTGGTTTCCAGTTTAGCATTGCAGATGTCACTTTATTTTAATGCTTACTTTTTCCCACTTTGGTGGGTGAGCAGCATTATGATGCTTCGAATAAAAGTAAGTCTAAACTTTAATACTTCTGCTAAGGTCTTTTCTGCTCATCCCTTGGCATTGTTACATTGCCAATAAAATCCAAGTTCTTAATAATTTCTATCTCAGGTCATTTTTATTTGTGAGATTTTACAAACATGTTTATTTTTGTTTTCTTTAGTATCCAATTTTGCCTGATTACTACAAATTCATCGTGGTCACTGTTATCATCCTCATAACCTTAATTGAAGCTATCAGGCTGTATCTGGGCTACATGGGTAACCTCCAGGAAAAGGTAGGCTCTCCTTTCTTTCAGTGCTACACGTAAATGCAAGGAGGTTTCCATAGCAAGGAAAGGGCAGTGCGCTGTGGTGGAAGGAACGAAGGCCTATAGTTAAGGCCTGGTTCCAAGGTTACTTCTTTTGTCACTGTGGTCTGTTTACTTAATCTCATTAGCCTTGGTTTCTTCATATGTAAAATGGGGAAAATATTTACTTCACAAGTTGGTTGGAATTAAATGAAATCCTTATGTAATAAAAGGCTAATATGCAAATTGTCCCCTAGACCGGGAGTTTGACCAGGGGGTGGGGCCAGCCAGCCAACTCCTTGTGACCCCTCCCCCCAGCTGGCCCGTACCTGATCAGCGCCCCCCGCCTGCCGCGATCAGGGGCTGGCCCACGATCGGGGCAATTGGGCCAGGCCAGCCGGGGGAAGGGACGCACACTGGAGGTTGACGGGCCAGCCGGACCCTACCTGTGCACAAATTCGTGCACTGGGCCTCTAGTAATTTATATAAAATACCTGAACATAGTAAGCACTTAAGAATTGACCATTTTCCCTCTTCTCACAGTCTTGAAAATACTCGGTCAATTAAACATGTTCATTTGGATCCTGAATAAGAAAGTGGGGGCCCTGGCCAGAGTGGCTCAGTTGGTTAGAGTGTCATCCCGTGCACCAAAAAGTTGTGGGTTCAATTCCTGGTGAGGACACATACCTAGGTTGTGGGTTTAATCCCTGGTTGGAAACTGATTGATGTTTCTCGCTCACATCAATGTTTCTTTCTCTCTCTCTCTCTTTCTCTCTCTCTCGCTTATTCTCCCTCTAAAAATCAATAAAAACATATCCTCAGGTGAGGATTAAAAAGAAAATGAGGAGAAATTATAAACTCATTTCCTATGCTGGGCACATGTTTTCTGAATCATCAAGCTACCTAAGCATTTACAGGTAGTTACCAGAGCTTAGGGATAATGCCTAAAGATTCTGAAGGTTTTCTAACAGGCCCTTCATAATTAGGTCCCACCCAGCCTATCTCACTGTGTTTCTTGCTATTTCCTAAACTAAACATCTATTCCAGGCTGACATATTGATTCTCAGTCATGCTCATCCCACATCTTTGCTTAATTACCTTCTTGCCTCTTCCTCCTCCTACCCAGCTTTAAAAGCCTACATCCTGAATTCTTTCACCTACTCTGATCACTCTCTTATCCAACTTCTTGTAGCATTTAGTCTATATTTCTAAGTGACACATTTAATTATTCACTAAGGTGTAGTATTTTAGGGTTGTCACATAAATTCGTTTTCTCTTCTAATCTAGACTGTAAGTTCTCTGAGGACAGGTTCACAGTAGTGCTAAGTATTTGCTATATTTTGTTTATCTGTATAAACTAAAGAGTATACTCTACTGATCCGATTACTTTCAATGTGTGTCGTTTCAGGTTCCTGAATTAGCTGGCTTTTGGCTTTTGAGCCTTCTATTGCAGTTGCCTTTAATTCTTTTCTTGCTCTTTAATGAAGGCCTAACAAGTCTGCCCTTGGAAAAAGCGATACACATTGTCTTCACTATGTTCCTTACTTTCCAAGTTGTTTCAGCATTTCTAACCTTGAGGAAAATGGTAAATCAGTTGGCAACTCGTTTCCACCTCCAAGACTTTGACCGGCTCTCTGCGAATAGAGGAGGCATGAGAACAATGAGATCCTGTTTAGAAGAGATTTGACCCAGTGCTGTGTAGTGAAAATCTGAAAGCTCATTCTAGAAGACTGGGAGTTAGGAAAACATCAGAGATGTAGCATGAGAAAAAGGACCACGCGAGTGTTTGGAATTGTATACTCTTCAAGGTCGGAAAGTCCAAGTGATAACCGGGAACGGTGAGCCGAGGTGTGAGCCGAGGTGTTTTCCCGGGGTCGTGTCTTTCGACGCCCAAGAATGAGCTCTGCGGGCCAGAAGATTAGCAAAAGTGTGGAAAATTTATTACAAGCAGATTCAGACTCCCCGCAAGGGGAGGGGGAACCAATAGTGGGCTGCCCGTTAAAGCCTTGTAGTCCAGGGGTATATATTTGCTACAAGCCTGCTCTACGTCTACCTGTGTCGTCACCTGATTGATTCCCTCAGTAGTTTGTGCCCAGCAATGGGCCTGAACTTTCCCCCTCTCTGTGTTCTTTCTCTGTTCCTATGCTGAATTTTTTCTGTTTCTATGTGTTCGTACACCTTGTGACTGCGCCCTCCCTTGTTTTCCCATGCCTCCCGCTTTGAGTCCAGAAACATTTTATTATTTCTGCTTGGTTGGTTCCTGTGGTTAGGCTGCTCACACTGCCAAGTCTGCCCCTGCCTGTGTTCCACCTGCCTTTGTTTCCCCTGGACCCCTGCCCTATCTGCCTGTTTCAAGTTAACCCTCTCACAAGGTTGGGGCAGTAACAGACTCTACAGTATGAAAGCAGTAAGTCATCCCTGAATCCTAGATGATGTCCACCTGATGCCAAATATCTTAATTTTTTTGTTGTTGTTGGCTTTCTCAGGTGTGTAGACTTCAGTGTTGGTGGTCACAGTTTACCAGCTTTACTGTAATATTTCTAGTTAGTATCTTTAACATTTCTAGTTAGAAATGTGTATATTTCTTTTAAACTTGTTTTTTTTAATCTTTATTGTTGAGAGTATTACAGATGTCCCCCTTTTTGTCCCCCATTGCCTCCCTACACCCAGTTCCCGCCCCGCCCCTGGCCTTCACCACCCTATTATCTGTGTACATAGGGAATGTATATATGCATATAAAGTCTTTGGTTAATCTCCTCCCACCCACCCCCTTCCCTCTGAGATGCCTCAGCTATCCATATCTTGGCAGTTCATCTGGAGCATGTGGAAATCCTTATCAATATTCTGGCGTGTTAGACTATATTTGTAAACCAAGACACATTTTCATGTCTGCTAGGGTTAAATTATAACCTAATCTCAGCTGCTGTCATGAGGTTAAGAAGAAAACAAGTGGATTATCATGGTATTTAGGAAATATTTTTATAATAAAATTGTAACTTTCATAAAACCATGTTCAGTATTTCTGGTGGTGGTGGTGGTAGTGTTCTAAATGTCTTTAACAGTAAATTATAAAATATTTATAATAAATCATGCTTATCTTGTACAGTTCTTTTGGGCATGGTTTTATTTTTATACGGAGTTGCAAAGGATGGAAGGAGAAAAAATAGATAGTAGAGAGCTTCTATGTAGTAGGCACTATACTAAGCACATTAATCCTTGTGATCTCATCTACTAAATCATTATTCACTGAAGAACTGCTTCATACCCAATAAATTCATATGAGGGCTGATTTGAAAACCAGGGTGCCTATTAATCCATAGCGAGAGCTAAGGTGACCAAAGGGACTAAACTCATGATCTTAATAAGCATGTTCCCTTGCTAATAAGAAAAACATATTTAAGGAAATTCAGGTAAGAGCAAAATTGTTTGGGTGTATCTGAACATTATTTTTAACTGAGTATAGGATTGTCTTAATGGGTATACAGTAGTCTCCCCTTATCCCCTTTATCATATGTATATGATAAAGTTTATAAATTAGGCATAGTAAGAGATTAGCAATAACTGATAATAAAATAGAACAATTACAACAATGTACTGTAATAAAAGTTAAGCAAATGTGGCCTCTCAAAACATTGTACTGTACTCTCCTTTTCACTTGAAAACACTCATGGCTTCTCTGTCATAGCTTAACTGTCAACATCACTACTCTTGCACTCTGGGGCCATTATTAAGTAAAATAAGGGATACTTGAACAAAATGCCACAATATTAGTTGATCTGATAACTGACTAATGAGCGGGTAGTATCTACCGTGTGGAGATGCTGGACAGAGGTATGATTCACATCCCAGGCAGGACAGAGGAGGACAGCACGAGATTTCATCATGCTGTTGAGAGCAGGACACAAGTTAAAACTCATGGACTTATTTCTGGAATTTTTCATTTAGTATTTTCAGTCTATGGTTGACCATTTGACAAATATAATATCATCTTCTTTACTATAAAAAAAATGTGGCTTTATACTGAGAAATAGTTATAGCTACGTTAAAAATTATTTTTTTCCCAATTTCCCTTATCTGTAATTCATACTCATCTTAGGTTTTCCATGCTTTGCATTATTTATTCTTATGTTGCTTACGTTTTGAAAATGTTTTCACTTCCCACTCTTAAGTACATCCGACCAAACTACTTATGCTAATTTTATTTCTGTGTTTTTTTATTACACAATTCAAAGACGCGCGCGCGCGCACGCGCGCACACACACACACACACACAGTCCTCCACATGCACTGGTTGATTAACCTTTTCCTCATACCAAAGTAGTCACTAGGTGTACTCCAATAACTTGAAATTCAAAATAGAATTCTGTGTGGAAAGTTTTTTAGAACTTAATTTCTCTGGATTTGTTTTCAGATAGGAATAGATGGGTGAATCTATTAAAAAAATGTAAAATAAGAACACTAAATTTACTTAACAGATAAACCAAGGGGATGATCAAAAAAGACTTTTTAACAATTGTTTCCAAAGTTTTGTTTTAAATAGCGGAGACTCTGACACATTTAAACTTTAATTTAGGATTAAGAGAGTAATAGCTAAAATACTGTAGTCAAAAAATTTCAAAGACTAAAAATTTTGGAAAAATAAATTTGGCTTATTAAAGTTCTCCAAAAATGTCTTTGCTATAATAACAATATTGCTTAAAATACTGACATAATAAGGGTGGGGTAAAAGATATTAAGAAAGTCGACTGAGAACATGACAAAGTCATTTGTTTTTCATCCAAACGGTAAAACCATGATTTTGTGTTAGGCTTAACCAATATTTGCTATTGGAATATACCTATGTAAGCATAGGTAAATTGAGGTTGAGAAGATATTTACATGCCAGCACATTTGGAATTTAGGGAGTCCATTATTTTATTTGAATAAGTTTGTTTATCCTTAATTCTATTACATCTTTCTCTCCAGGGCTTCATAACACTGTTCTGAACATTTCTAGTTAGGATGTTGAGCTTCACGAATATTGTGTGTTTCACGTTTTTCTTCCAGAGTCTCTCTCATCACAAAGTAGATGTAAATTTCTGTAAATCAGAATGATTTTTTAAATTGGATTTTAACATGTTTGAATGTCTAGTATGTGCAAGGAATAGTGGAGGGTACAGACAAATAAGATATGCTCCCATGTGGAAGGTAAGATATTTGTAAGACAATCTTAAGACAAAATAGAAAAGTCTGACTTCATCAGAGAGATGCATTGAATGAGTTTCTACCTGAGAAGTAGCTTGGCTCCCAGCATATCTCCCCTCTTTGTTCCTAGCTCTTAAGTGTTCAGGATTAGGCCCTTCGTCTTCATCAGTTAGCATACACTATTCCTCTCATTGTCAGAGCACAGGGAGGAGGCCTGGAAGATGAGGGTACAGTTAAACACATATGTTCATTGCAGCATTATTCACAGTGGCCAAGACATGAAGAGAACCAGTGTCCTTTGATAGTGGATTGGATCAAGAAGATGTGATACATATGGAATACTACTCAGCAATAAGAAAAGATGAATTCTGCCATTTGGGACAACATGGATGGCCCTTGAAAATATACTAAATGAAATAAGTCAGTCAGAAAAAGCTAAGAACCATATGATTTCACTCTTACGTGGATATAAAAATGTAACTCGTAGACACAGACAACAGTATGGTAGTTACCAGAGGGAAGTGGGTGGAGAGATAGTAAAAGGTAAAGGAGGCCAAATATGTGGTGATGGAAGATGATTTGACTTTGGGTGGTGGGCATACAATACAATATACAGATCATGTGTCATAAAAATAGTACACTGGAAACCTATATGATCTTATTAACCAATGTCATCCCAATAAATGTAATTAAATAAACCCATACACACTGGAACTTGCCTGTCCACACAATAATGAAAGTTTAATGCCTGGTGGAAAAGACAGATAAGCAAATCATTGATAGCACAGTGTGATGGGGGCACTGTAGGATTACAGAGAAGAGACTTCTGAAAGATGAGGAATCTGGGAAGCCTTCCTAAACAAAGTACCACTTGAGATTTGGAGAATGAGTGGCTATTAAGTGTTAATTTCAGTATTAAGAGACAGAAATAATAGTGACCGAGTACTGTTTCAGGTATTACATGTAGTTTGGTAAAGCCTGGTGGGAAGGTGCATGAGAAGAAAGGGCACAAAATAAGGTAGAGAAGCTTAGGAGGAGCTAGTAAGCTATGCTGAAGATTTTAATTTTCTGAATCCCTGAGTAGTTTAAACAGTGAAATGTCACAAACAGATTTAGATTTCAGAAAGATCTCTCTCTGAGGACAGTGTGGAAAACAGATTCAAAGTGTTGGACTAGAGGAAGAACTTGATGCAGTAACTTCGAACAGAACACGCTGGCCTAGATAAAGTCAGTGGCAGTAAAATAAATTTAAGTAGGACATATTAAAGTTTCAAAAAAATTTTTATTTTACATTTTAAAATAAGTAGCAAATGTTTTTTCCCAACTCACTCTTTTGGGGATTACACACAATGGTAAACAAAATGACGTACTGATTGTCTTATGGAATACTCCCTCGAATTGTTAGGTTATTAGACTTAAATAGAGCTCTGTCTAAAATAGTCTTTTATACATTTTATTTAACACAACCTACCTAAATTATTCTTAATTTACATCAGTTAAGATGATAGTTTTTAAAAACTTAAATTTTAAAAGAAATTGAATCAAGATTTTGAGAGTAAAGAACAGAAATCTATAATTCCACCACCTTAAAAGAACAACTATTAGCAAATGCCATGTTTCCTTGCAGTTTTGCTTTATAAATGCTTTTTAAAAATATATATTTTTATTGATTTCAGAGAGGAAGGAAGAGGGATAGAGAGAAACATCAATGATGAGAGAGAATCATCGATCGGCTGCTCCCTGCACACCTCACCACACACTGGATCGCATCCACAACCTGGGCATGTGCCCTGACAGGGAATCAAACCCTCCTGGTTCATAAGTTGACGCTCAACCACCGGCCAGGCTATAAATGCTTTTTAAAAACATAGTTGTGATCATTGGCACTTACAATTTTGTATCCTGTTTTTCTAAGAACATTATAATTATTTATCCATCTTTCTACATAGTCACACAACCATCATCTTGAATGATTGCACAATATTCCACCAAGAAGATAGGCAGTAATTTAACTTCTCTCCTATTGTTGGGCATTTGTGTTGTTTCTTCTTTTGCTTTTATACATAACATTATAATGAATATCTTACACATAAAGCTTTTTCCATATCTTAGATGATTCTTTTTCATGAATAAGCTAGCAAAATTGCTAGATCATAGGCTATGAACATTTGTAAGGAACCTTGATCCATAGTGCCAAATTGTAACATCCACTTTCTGCCACTCACCACCTACAATTCTAAGGATAGTATAATACAAAGTTTGATAAGAACAGACTTATGGACCTCAGTTACCCATTCGTCTTTGTTTCTGTGTAGCTACCACAGGAACACTGAGTCTCCCAAGGAGGAAAAAAAAAAGCTAAAAGCTGCTAAAGGAGAAGTGCAAAGAATTAAAAAAAAAAGATTTTTGAATTAAGGGAAAACTGATAAGGGAGGGGAAAGGATTAGGCAGGCTGGTCACAGCAACAGAGAGATGTGACACAATAAAAACTGGGTCGTTGAGTTGGGACAGCCCTAGGACATAAAAAGACTGAAATGAAGTAAAGCTCTGGATTACTTTGTTCTTGAATATTGAATTTTTTCAGAAGCATGGAGCATGAAATATTATAGTGATAAGCCAAGATTGGAAACATAGCCAAGAAAAAGAAGTCTTTAAGGGATTGTTTAAAATGTGCTGAAGGAATAATTTGGTTTGGTCTTAAATGGCTCAGAAAGTAAATTGACATAAAGCTTCTGCATAGCAAAATAGGCATGGAAGCAGAAAACAATGAGGCAAGCAGAATACCCCATAAATTTGTTACAATATAAAATGTTAGATTTTAGTTCTAAGGCTTATCAGAAGACTTAAATGCTGTGTT